CGTCGTCGCATAAGTTTATCTCGATTTTTTTTAGCTTCTTTCATACGTTCAACTAAAATAGCATTTAATATAACAAGTAATGTACATGGACCAACATTAATTAATAAAGCACGAATAAGTGTATAAATAGAGAATAATGTTCTATATTTTGGATCTTCTGAATAATCAACAACTGTACATGCAGCAAAATATTTTTTTGAATCAATTAACGAATTAACCATTTCAGGTTTAAATGTGCCTTCAATAAACATTGGTATAGCTACAATAAGTGCTAAAATATTAACACAAACAATTGCTTTTAGTGCCATTGGTACAGTACACCATTGTTTAGCTTTTTCTGAATAACATACATATATATAACGTTGTATAGCTAATACAACAGTTACCTTAAATATGTAAAGAAAATAGATTACATCACAAAGAAAAAGAAATTACAATAATATATAATTTACCCATATTGAACATGTATGAAAAATAAATGGTAATACATCATGACTCATTCGATGAAACCATCCATAATTATATGGTATATAATCATTACATTGTCGAAATGTATATACATATATTAATGCTGGAAAAGGAAAAAGTCCTGTTAATGTATCATAAAGTGCAATAGCTAAAAGAAGAATATTTGTTGGTGAACGAAGATGTTTTTGAAGTAAAACAACAGCAATTAAAGAATTTAATACAGTTGATATAATTATTATTAATGGTGCGCAAAAACCTTGTAATATAATATTATATGTTGGTGGACATTGACCAGGTTGAAATGGATACCAATGTAAATCCGGTGATGCATTAACAGCACCATTTGTTGCAGTAGTTGATAATGTTTGATTAAATTCAAGTACCATAGTATCAAAATCAATAGGATATAAAAGACTTATTGTATAATTAGTTTGAGGAAAATCAAACCATCGTCTAGATTGAAAACAATTTTATTTAGTAAAAAGAAAAAAGAAAAAAAAAAGAAATTTTGTTTTTTTCATAGATTCTATTCAAATCTTTTCCGTCTTTTCTTTTTTATTTCTCGTTTGTTTGACAACGAAATCAAAATTTAGTTATAAGTACCACTCGATATACAAGAATTAAGAATAGACAAAAAAAACTATTACAAACAAATTGTTCATTATAATATTGAATCTAGACGTGTTGTGCTCTAATATGAAGAGAAAGAGCAAAACAAGGTCATCAATTATATTAAAAGAAAAACATATTCAAGGATATTTGATAAAGAAAACAAAATAATTGAAAATCATCAATCATTTTAAGTAGAATCACACACGATTTTCATTAATAAAAAGAAAAAAAAACAGACAAACAATATAAAAAGTAATTTATACATTTTTCTCACTATCTAAATAGATACATATACTTTCATATTGTTTCCGGATGTTGATAATTAAACAGAGATTTATTTCATGTCATCGAGAACATATACAATATAACGTGCATATATAATTTAAGAAATGAATCGCTACGCATCCGATAATATTGACAATAAGTTAGTGTACTATATAAAATTCTTTCACATCAATAGGATGTTAAACATAATCAGGTTGACGTACGGACAAAAGAAAAAAAAGAAGGGGCAATTGCTTTTCTCAATTAAAACTACAAAACAATATATTCAAACAAAAAAAAAAAAGTGAACTGATTCTGATGTGTATATCAATCTTTTATATTTTTTTTCTAAGTAACAAAAAATTTGATGATCTGCTTTTAAAATATATTTTTTTTCCTCTGATAAAATAAAACATTACTATTCTCTGACATGCTACTTATGCTTCATGAAATATTCAAAGAACATAAAAGGTATTACATTTGATCGCTTACCTATACTGTTTTTTGAACGTTTGATGTTATTTCTATAAACAAAAAAAGGAAATCTGACTATTTTTTTTCCTCTCGTTCTATTCTTAACACTACTAAATGATCATTTTGAATAAATTATTAAAAAGAAAACACATCTAGTTTCTTGAACATGTATTCATGTTGAACGTCTACTATAAATAAAATAAATTTGCTTTTATACATCTTATATTTATCCGTATCAACGTTGTTAACGAACTAGAACATTGAACGCATACTCATGTAAAGAAAACGCAAATAAGAACTTGTCATTTAAGTGGCTACAGAAAATTGGAAGAAAAAATAGCTACGGCGATCACGACTAATAGATTAACAATAGAAGAAAATTATTTGTCTAGGGACAAGCAATATATGAAATAATATGAAAACATAACGATTGAGAAGATAAATGGCCTATTTTTTATTGATGAGTACATTACCATAAATTAACGGAAAAAAATGCTAACTATACACGTACTGCATACTATTACCAAGTTTCTGATAATATACACGATTTCTTTGATGCATACTATTTTCATAGATTTTAACAAGAAAACAAGAAAAAAAAACGTTCTCTCGGAACAACTAATATGATGAAATGCGTTCATTTAGCATGTATGATGTATTCGAGTAGGATTGTTAAAATGAGTATGTTATTATTTTTCTTCTTACATGTTAATAAAGCCAATGTAGCTCATAGAAATGCAATTCTAATCTTCTTTTCAGTAAAATAAGCTTTACGTAGAATTAGTCATGAAGAAAAAGATGAGAGTTATCTTAGAAACAAAGAAAAAGAAAAAAGTTAAATATTACCTAAGATAGAATTCTAGCTACGTCCATTCATCAAATAATGTTTTTATTGTTGATCAACACAATGTTTAACTTCTTTCTATCTATATTTAACAGTCTCATCATAAATTGATCTTTCAAGTTCCAAAACTCAATTGTAATCAATGATGAAGAATAGAAGAGAAGATAGTAGAATGAACAAAAGAAAGATAAAAAACACAAAAGAAAATAGCATCGATCATAAGAGAAGTATTAAAACAAATTTGCACCTAGACTAATTAACACTATCTTCAAAGAACAAATGAATATATATATTTGTATGATTGTTTATTTTTATATAGATTCATTTAAGGTTATTCGAAGAGTTTCCGCCTCTGTAATACTCTTTTGATATATGTTTGCAAGTAATTAACATATCTAAATATCTGACATATGTGTATGTAAACAAACTACGATAATAAGTGATATTGTCTATTATGTTCCAATCTGATTTTGATTTTGTATATGTCAAAATATTTTGGTCTTTGCGGGGAAAAAAAATGAAAAATTATGGAAAGAAAAATAAATCATCTTTATTCATAGGTCAATATTCATGAAAGAAAAAAAAAATTATTTAACTTAATATATAGAAAAATCTAAATATGCTTTATTTTTTTACATTATAATACATTAACTTGATGACATAAAAAAAAGACCAAAAAAATAAAATACTCACATCAATTCATTGTCTGTATACATCATATTTTTTACTTTCATTTTATACCCAACAAAACTATTAGTGATTATATTCGTGTAAATAATTTGTGTCTTTTAAAAGATTAAATGTAGTGATATAAGAAACGAGAGAAAACGAGAAATCATTGATTATTATCGTGTTATTCAATGTCTACATTCTTACACTACAATCAAGATTTTTTTGTATTGAAATTACAAATATATATTTATAGAGAGAGAGAGAGAGAGAGAGAGAGAGAGAAGCACTTATGAAGTGAAAAATAATCTTGGAAGACTTCAAGACAATTATGACCTTTTTTTCTTCTTCTTATTCTATCCAAATCTATAATATTGCAAGATTTATTATCATCATTATTATCAATATGAGTACTCTTTAAAAAAAAAACTGTCAGACGTCGTTTTTTGTCCTTACATATATGGAAAAAATATTCAATTATACAATTCTAGAATGATTAACAGAAAAATGATTTCGACAAAAGGCTGCGTAATGATGTTGAAAAGTGATTGTTTCTTATCGTTTTAGTGTGTGCACAATATTGATAAAACAATATGATGATGCATGACTTATCCTTGACGATTACTTACTCATTTTTAAGAATATGTGACATTACACAAAAAAAAAATGCAACTATGAATAATCATTTGAATTGGCTTCCTTTTTTTTCTGAGAAAAAATTAAAAATTTCTACATTACAAAAGCTTCTCATATTTCGCATATATAAAGACATAATAAAAAAAAAAAGAAGACTTTCTCATGAATACTTACACATTATCAACAAGTCAAAATCAGAATCAACTTGTCAAGCGTATGCTTATGTCAGGTATACTGTCTTTAATGTATTGTAAAAGATCAAATAAATAAGAAAAGAAAACGTCTCTAGGTTTTTTTTTTCTTCTTCTTCTTCTGCTTCTCTTTTTTTTTCTTATACCATAAATATGAGCCCATCTAACAAAAGATCTACGTCTCGTCCTTTCTCCTATTCTAGCTCGATATGTATATTAGTAGTTGCTAACTATGACGACGGCAGAGCTCGAGACACGCAAAGCGTAGTCATCATTCTACATCCTTCCTATTCGCCATTATGTCAAATGTTCGATATAGTACTACCCGAGGCGGATGACACGTTCTTCCTCCTCAATGTTCTTACTTGACAATTTCGAGATACTAAAAAAGAAAAGAATTGTAGCAAGTAAGAAACATACAAGTTTCTTTGACAATGGCACAGATTAGTGGTTGTTTGCTCTTCCTTTCTATATCTCTATTTTTCCATTTTCTTCTTTGTTTTTTCTATTATATTAGACAAGACCTGCCAAACCATTCGATAGTATCTTTTATTTATTTGTGTCTTATGCTTTACTTAATTAGTATTGGTTATAAAAACTTACCCATATTCTTCATACATTGTAGACTGTTTTCTTTGTTATTTTTGGCGAAACGATATGTAAAAACAAAGCAACCGAAGAAAATTCTGGAGAGCTTAGAATATAAATTAATATATTTCCTCTTCTTGGTGGTTTGAAACATTATAGAGATGAAGGCATTGATTAGAAAAGATCTGTTGGACGTAATGATAATAACGGACGAGTGGATCTTATGCGTTACTTCTCACTTCATTACATTCAAACATGCCAATCATATGCCGCCTGGATGATTATCGAGTTTCATAATTGAAGTGAAATCTCATCAGCAAAAGAAACTGTTGGATTGAATAGGTTTTCTCTCGATTAACTTACCAACGAAGAAGAAAAAAGGAGAAATACAAAAGATGTTTATATATCAATACAGAGATGAGAAAATAAGATTGATCATAATATTATATTTGTCGACAAAAGAAGAAAACTTCTACTAGTTTATTTCATTTTTTTTTGTCATAATACATGCACTGGAAAATGGCTGATACATTGATTTTCTACCCAATTTTCCATTCTTTTCTTTTTCGTATACAAATAATGCTACTACTATTACTACAAATTCTATTCAGTTTCTTGTTTTCTCTCCGGGCTTTTACAGCCTGTCATAAATGATTTAGTCTTTTGTCTATCAGTTTTCTTCTTTTTTTTTTTTATAATTCGTTATATTCTAGTTTCTATCATAGAAATCATCACTAAAGAAACATTGTAATTTTTCTATCACTTCATTTTAACTTGTTTCCTTAAACAGACCGTAAGAAAATATTTTATTAAATACATAATTTGAAGTGAATCTTTTCAAAACAAGCATACTCCAGAATCCAATTTCATTTCACACTAAATTAGTTACCATTAAAAGAAGAACAACTAATGAATTGACAATGATTAAGTCAAATATAGAATACTTTTCAATGAAATTCTATTAGCATTTGATTAGAAACTAATTCAACCGAATATAGTTCAATTCCAAGAGTGTGATTAGTATAGAAAAGACTAAGATAAGGATATAGATTAAAGGAAATATAACCATAAGTATAAATATATATATTATATATATACGGGTTAATGTACTATTAAACATATTATTGAGTTATTTTCAGATCTAAATATATTCTCTCAGGCATATATAATATAGTACAATATTACATGCAAATATATATTAATCAAAAATACAGAAATAAAACACAAAAAAAACAAAAAAAAATTGAATATATTTCTTACTGTATGTTGTCATGATAAAAACCATCATTCTGTACTATGATTACTTTACGAATGATATATAGCTAGATTCTTGGAAAGAATATTTATGATGACATTTTTGAAACGTCAATATATCTAAAAACGTCACCTGTCCTTTATATTTTGGAAGCTAATATTAACTAATCAGCATAAATGCTAATGTGACAAGTGTCACAATTGTTACTAATATTCGAGAAAAAAAAGACGCATAAGTCATCTATATCATTATTGGACAGTCGAACAACAAGGATAGAATTATCATCATGCAATGGTCGTCATGTGTTATATATTCAAGAAAAAATACTGATGCTATAGGAAACTTTGCACATTGCCAATCATTATGAATGACAGAAACAAAACTAGGACGATACATATATCAATTAAGTATGCACTTCACATATTATCCATAACTGTAAAATACATAAGAATATATTTAACTACAATTGTAAATGATATAGAAAAAAGAAAAACAATCTTAACTTGTTGTTTTTGTTATATTCAATTGTTTTTAAAAATAATTCTCACCAAGATAAATTGTATTTGTATTAGTAATATCTTCAAATATTAATAAAAAAGATTATACATGTGATTGAATGTATCTATTTATTAATAAATATAAATTATTTAAATAAAAATTTATTAGTTTTGTGTTTTTTAATATATATATATATAAAACAATAAGTCATCGACATTTTTACAATTATAGATGTCTATTGCTTTTGCATGTTAGCAAAATATCCAATATTAATATTAACTTCTACTCTAATATGAAATCGCGTGATATTAAATTAATTTTTCTTTTCGTGTAATCAGCATAAATAGAAGCTTCGACACAAGAGCAGATCAATTTTCCGTTGGTTATTGATAATGAGAAATTTTTTAAGAACTTAAAAGTTGTCATGATCTAATTTTTAATAAGTTGATTTGCTGCTTTAAAAGTCTAATAGAAAACACACAATCCAATATATTATTATTTCTTTATACATGTAAAAACACAAAATAATGAATGAGAGCTCTTGTCAACCACACGATTACCCAACAAAAATCAAATCTATATTCAAACAATTACTTCAGATTAGCTTCATTCTTCACAATCAGTGAAATAAGTTATTATTTAGCTATCTCCACTATGAAAATTCACAAGATCTCAGACATGTTATTATTCTTAATTTCGTATTTATTTTGTAATTCAAGTAGGCAACAGAAAAGAGTTTCTGACTTTTTTTTTAGAGGGTGATTGTAAACGATGGTGATTGTTCTTATGGATATTGGTTATAGTTTTTTTTTCTTTTTACGTAGTTGTATATTCGACATATGTAATTATCTATGAAGTTAATGTTTGAATATCGATTTGATTTTTATTGGATGTTCGTGATTATCTAAGACTGGTTGTTTATATTTTCTGTCGGCAATCGCGTGATTGACAGGAGTTAATGAAAAAAAATAACGTTGATTTATACTGATTGTATAAATAAATGAGTCATATTTGTAGTTGTTGATGATATAACATTGGAAGTTTTCTTAATATTATTAGCTTTTCGTTCTCGAATTTTTTTTAAAAGTTCTTCATCTAATGTAAGAAAAAGAAAGGAATTAGAAAATTTATTTAAAATAAAATTTTTACTTCGTCGTTTATTTTCATTTGGTTGTATAAGATAATTTGTATCAACATTTTGTCCACATGATGAACAAAGTTTTATTTTAATACTTTGTAATTCTTTTGGTGTTGTCCATTCACCCTATAATAATTAAATTTCATATTTTTTTTTCAAAATCTACCAAATACAAAAAAGAAAAAATAATTTCGATAATTACCATAAATGAATATTCATTACAATATGGACAACAAACAGCACGATTAAATGGATTACCTTCAAAGAAAAAAAAAAAAAAAAGAAAATCAAAGTTACTTTTCTTTTTTTTTTCTTAAAATGTTGGCAAGTTTCAAAATTTGAGCAAACTTGTTATGATTAGATAAAGCTTGTCAATTTATCCTATAAAAAGATGTGTTTTTTGACATATTCAGATAGTATTTTTGTAGTGAAACTTAGGAAAATTATGTTAAAAAGTTATTAGCATAATTTATACTGTATTAAAACATGAAATACAGTGTAGTTGTTGTTATTAATTTGTTTTATTTTATTTATTTTCGAACACTTTTCTTCATCATCTTTTGACTTTATCCTTGAGAAATCCAACAAAAAAATATTTTATATATGATAATGAGACATTATTGGCGTAAAGTCTGTCATCATATATCAAAAATGTCTGTCACGGTCTGTGACACGAAGAATACAAGTGCTACTAAGACATCTGTCATAATTGGTGACATGTCTATGGTTGTGTCTGTCACGGTCTATGCTGAAAGAGAGACGTTGCTAATGATATCTGTCACGTCTGTGATATGTCGCTGTTACCATGTCTGTGAGGGAGAGAGTCAATATCCACCCCCCATACCTCAACACTCTTGTTAGATCGTGTTTCATCAAAAGAAACACAGAAAAGTCTACAAAAATCGAAATATGACAAGTGATATCAAGTCTCGATAGCCTTGATATTTTATCCGAGTTTTTCTTGATTTTACTCGTCGTATTAGTTAAGAAAATCAACTCTTTTTTGGTATGATAGCAAAATACTATAAATATGTATTTTTAGTCTAAGATTTTAACTATCAGAATTTCAGCTACAAAAAGAAACGAATATTATATTCAGAATCAGCATAAAAATCTGTATCGGATAGTACACTCAATATGTCAATTTAATTTCCTTTAAATTTCAGTCCTTCACTCTTATTTGGCCTGTGCTTCTTCTTAAACAAACAAACATATCACTTTTTGCATGAAATTGTGTCTTATTTTCTATGTAGTTTGTTCACTTTGTACAATTTTTCGATATCAAAATTTTTAACATTCAACAATACACACATCTTGTATATAAACAACTTTACTATTATACTCTGGTTGTATACAGGACTGTCATACTTACTCTTCCTCTTACTTCCATTTACTATAGTAACAGTAAGTGTTTTTATATTGATCCATTGGCTATCAATCATTGTATGGTAATCATCATCACTTGCTGGTAAGTGGTTTACATTTAGCTGAAGGTAGGCTATATGCGTCCCATTACTAATGATTCTCACAGATATTTTTCGTCGCTTTTAACAGTCAGAAGCGACCTTTTTCAAGAAAATAACTGAATTTTATATAACTTGACCAAAGATTTTCGAGATCAAGGAATCCGAATCAGTAATCAGCTTGTAGAAATTATGCACATGATTTCTTAGTCAAATTTTCTTGATCTCTGACCAAACTTTATAGAGAAATTCTTTCCTTGCTCAAAGTAACTCTTCCTTAGTGAAAACATTCATTACATTCTTTTTTATGAAATCGATCACTGGTGACCAAAAAAAAACCCCACAAAAGGTATTTATTGGAATCATTAGTAATGGAACGTATATGATGTCACCACAGCTAAATATAAATCATTTATCTGCAAGTATCATCTACCCTTCACCTGATAAATAGTATCACTTACTAGTAACTGATACTACTTACCACTTACTAGTAAATGATATCACTTAGCACTTATTGGTAAGCGATAATCAATATCAATTATCAGTTACTGGTAAGTAATATTACTTAGTGGTAAGTAATATCACTTACTACTGACTAATAGGAATATGATAGTTCTATTTTTGACATTGAACGTTTTGATGTTAAAAAGTTGTACAAAGGGAACAAACTACATAGAAAATAATACACAATTTTGTACAAAAAGTGATATATTTATCTGTTTGGGAATTCGATGAACTCTATTTAATATATGTTACTCAAATTTCAAATTGTTAATATCTTCGAATAAAAATGAAAATTTACTAGGAGCTAAAATTTTAAACATTTCTTCAAAAAGATTAAGTATTGACATAAGTACATTCCATATATTATCAAATGGTTGTTCAGTAAAATTTGTTCCACAATAACAATTAATATATGTATGATGATTTGTTTCAATAATAAATCTACAACAAAATAAATTTAATATAAATAAAAGATTTCAAAGTTTTTTTTTTTTTTTTTTATTAACTTACTTAACTTGTTTTTCTTTATGTTCACCTATAATAAAATTATTCCAATGTTTTATATAAATAACATCTGATTTTAATATAGCCAAAACAGAAAATCGATGAAAAAATCCTAATGGTAACATTGAACTTTGATAACGTATATTAACTTTATTTATTATTTGTTTAAAAAAATGTCTTTTTTCTTCTTCTTGTTCATTTAAATTAATAAATGGTAAATAACATGGAACAATAAAATAATCAAATTTTATTTCATTTTTTTCTTCAGAATTCAAAAAAATTTTTAATTGTTTTTTATTAATTTTTGGATATGCAATTAATAAAAAACGCATTAATATATTCCATACATGATAAAAATATTCTTTTTTATGTAATAAATTAATCCATAATGAATGAATAAGATCTAAATGTAAACGACCACATTGTTCATATTCTTTTCTATATAATTGATGTATAGATTCAAAAAAATTATCATGATGAAATAATGATGATAGAAGATCACCTAACCATACTGGTCGAAGAAAAACAATACGATTTTTTGTACCAATTTCATTTAAAATTAAAATTTTTCCTTGATCACATAATGACATTGATATATCATTGATTAAATTTGAAAGTCCATGTTTATTAATAATATGACTAGTAAAATGTTCCCATGAAAGATATGGAACAGGTAAATCATCAGCTAAAGATTCAATATATCGATTTGTTTCAGCCCAAAGTGTTGGTAAAATTCTATTGATATGCGGAAAGATAGTATTTTGTGTTAAAATATAATGTTGAATTCTTTGATTAAGTTCATTTATACCTTGACATGTTAATGAACTAATTGCTTGACAAGATTCAATTTGTATATTATTATTTAGAAGACAATTATAAGTTTTAAGACGATCCGAAAGAGAAGGTGGTATTGTTTGAAGACATTTAATTTGTTCAATTTCATGTTTTATTCGATTAATACGCAATTGAAGATAAAGTTGAAAGAATTTATTAATTTTATCTAATGATTGAATTCTACATATATAAAAAAAGAAAAAAGAAAATTTAAATTAATAATAAAAATATTTATTAAAAAGAAAAAAAAAACAAAAATTCTTACTTATCCTGTTTTGATTGTTTATCATATAGATCAATACATGTAGCAATAGGTAATATTATAAGAGCATTTGTTTTAGTTAGTTTTTCACAAAGAATTTGTAATATTTGAAATAATTGTTGAATAATTGGATATAATGTTATATCAAATGTATCATTAAATACTTCTTCAATATTTCTAGGAGTTTTTTTATCGAAATCAACTGTATGAATACAAATAAAATGAAGTGCGTTTGTATCAATAAATGTTGATATATATTGATAATATTCTGGTGATCCATTAAAATCATATATAGTTAATGGAAGAGATTTAATTGATTCTAATGACATAGGAGTTATTGATGAAAGTAATGTAGATTGTTTTAATGAAACAATTGAAAATCGTCTCTGTTTTTGTATATCAATATCAAATTGTGTTTGTTGTTGTTGTTGTGTTTGGGATAAGTCAATAGATTTTCTTGGTAAATGAATTTGAGATTTCATTTCTAAAGATGAATGATCATTGTTTGTTTCGAAATGAAATGGGAATTGAAGAACTATTTAAATTAAAAAAAAAAATAATCAAAGAAATAGTTCATGATAATTATTGAAATTTATCTATTTTTTACTTACTATTAACAATTTTTTCTTCTTTTTCATCATCTATTAATGGTCTATATTCTTCAAGACAATATGCTAATGATGATTTACCACTTTTTTTACAACCAGTAATATATATTTTAAAACCTTGTCGAACAATTTCATTAATTTGTTGTTTATCAAAACATGAACGAATTATTTCAAGAATATTTCGTGAATATCTATTTTCTTCATTAAGAATTTTTAATAGACTTATTGGTTCTTTTAATGGATTATTATTAATTTTTAATTCTCGATTTGTAATCATATCATAATTTAATATTTGAATTAAATTATTTGATATTGATTGAATATTATTATTTGATAAATCAACTTTTAAAGAAATTAAAAGAAGATAATCATAAATTTTTGTTAATTGATTAAATGATAAATCAATTGAAAACATAAGTGATGTTCGTTTATAAATACTTGATAATTGTGATAATTGTGTTAGAAAATTATGACTAAGATTTAATACATCTAATGAATTTATAAGTAATAATTCAATTGGAAAACTAGTAAGACGATTATGAGATAGATTAATATTTTTTAAATAATTTAATTTATGTAGATTACGTGGAAATTTAATTAATTGATTATGAGCTATATGAACACATTCAAGTTTTTTCATTTGACTAAAATCAATTGTATTAAGTGTTTGTATTTGATTATGATCAAGAATAAAAATTTTTAAATATTTAAGATTTAATAAATCTATATCGATTGTTTTAATTAAATTATGTTCACAATTTAATCGTATAAGATATTTTAATGTATAAATAACGATTGGTAAACGTTTTAAATGATTAAATGATAAATCAAGTCGTTTTAATTTTTGATTTAATTGTTCAAATGAATTTGATATATTTGTTAGTTTATTATGTGAACAATTTAATGTTCGAAGATGAATAAGTAAACTAATTTCTGTTGGTAAATCATCAAGTTCATTTTCACTAATATCAAGATGTTCTAATGTTTGAACTGATGAACAAATATTACGAATCATTTCAACATTTGTACATATTTTAGTCGTTGGAGTATGAAAACGTAAATGAGATATTGAACGACAAAATAAATCATCACTATAATCAATATCAGTTAGATGAATAGGAAAAACATGACGAATACCGGATGTACCAGCACCAATGAATGAATTTGAATCAGATAGACTTGGTAGTTTAAGAACATCATCATTATTAGTAATCATCTTATTGAAGAGTTTCTTCGAACGTGTTAGGTGACTCGTTTATTGATTACTACTAGAAATACGTAATGATTTTAATAATGAAGTTTCCTACAAATAGACATTAAATATATGTATATGTCGTACTTAAAATGAGTTATAAAGTTAATAATGTCACTATCGAACAATATGTTTACAGATAATGATGAGTTTGGTAATGGATACGTGAAAGATTAATGACAGATTTATTTTTTTAACTCATGAGTTAAATTAAATCACATAAAAAATAGACTTCATTAACTCATCTCTAATTCATGTACTGATTGTTCAGGAGTAAAATGTTGATGCATTGTTCGTTAATAATAGCAACATATCTGCATATCACTATTGGATTTTACAAACTGTGTATAGATTTTTGATCCAGCACCGCGGTCAACTGTTTACACAAAAAAATGATCCATGAACAGCCCAAAAAATAGATTGTGGGAAGTTTTCTTCATGGATACGGGAGTCCTTATGGTACTGAGAAACTAGACTCCTACGAAATAGTCTCGAACCCGAAAAAAGTTTGTCCCGTATGACTCTATGGAAAATCTCTTTCCATCGTGTGAATTTTTATGTTTCTTCAGGTAATTTTAACTCAAGAGAGCACTTAGATGTCCGAATATCCCTCCAGTGATTGACTTGACATTGTTTTGAAATACTTACTGTATCAGTACTATAATACGGAATCATCTAAAAATGAAAACTTCACTTCGAGCATACTCTTTGATAGTTATCATAGTTTGACATGACATACAGAATAAAGCAAGGCAAAAGAACAGGTCGTCTAGTATTTGTTTTTTTCGATCAACTCACTTTGATGACATGTAAAACGCAACGCTCTACTGTCAATAGAGTAATGGCATTGTGAATGATTTGTCTATGATACTTCACTATACAATAGTAATCATATTGTTCTTCGAGATGAATTTAGATTATTTAGCGAGTAGAAACAAAAAATTTGTAAATGAAAAAACTTCAAAAACTCTCTAGAAAATTCATTTTCTGTAAAGTAATGTTATTTTTCTTCTTTCGATATAAAATCATATTCAATAAGTTTTTTTCTGGTCATACCTTGAAGTTTATATTACATTTTCGATCCGACAAGCTTTATATTTTACTTGTGTATGAAATAATCAGACATTGTTCGACTGTAGAAAAATCATAAATATTGATTTAATACTGTGTTTATATGGATTGACAGAAAAAAAGGAGAATTTTGATTATATTCCAGAAAAAAAAACACCCATGTCAAAATAAATAAAAAAACAGAAAATTAATTAAATATGTTATATAAACTGAATCCAGTATTGACACCAATAGAAATAAAAATAATCAATAAACAAAGTTTGATATTATTTTAAATTAAATGTACAAAAAAAAAAGAAGAAAAATAATCGTAGAATAATGAATTATTTATTTTTATTCTTATAAAAAAGGTCAATATATGATTAATAATAGAGTAATGACATCAATATTTTATTTCACAACATGCAATGCACACAAATCCCATTGGAATATTAAGCAGTATATTGTTTCGATAATTTTGTGACAGACAATCTGAACGAAGTGTTGAAGTATGAGAGTAGTAATTTGAACATTCCCTGACAGACTGTAACTGACATTTTAACAATAACCCATCACAGATGTTTCTAAGGGACCATCACGATCTTTAACAGTTTTTCTTGCGACACTTAAGTCTTGTATAGGATTATAATGAATGAAAATTGAATTTAAGACATTCAAGTTACCAAACTCACTGTAACATATTATGAATAACATCTATCATCACAAATATATCAGTACATCGGAAAACTCTTGATTTACAATATATGGCAATCAATCTTGTTTGTTTCTTCAGGAATTGCAGTAACAGTTTTTCTTGAATATCTTATTCATTCTCAAGGAAAAAATTATCAATTATGTCTATTCTGACAACCCATTTACGTCAGTTCATTGATAGTATTCTAGAATTGGATGAAATTAGACTACTAGCAACATGCATGTTATACTTCATTTATTAGTATAATATTTTGCAATAAAACCTATTTCAATTAATTCTGTATTTTAAATTCAATGTTTTCATCATACATAAATTCAAGCAATGAAAAACAAAATCTCATTTTGTACCTATTCTAATTGCTCGAAAATCATCTAAATGTGAATATCCGAATAAATTTTCTTGGCATCTTGTTAAACATTATAAAAACTTTTCATACATAATCAAAAAAAAAAGAATTCTATTAAGTCTTAAGATTTTTGTTTTACAAATATTCTTATCAATTTTCAATGTAAAAATATGTTTAATAATATCGTCTAATGATACTTTTAATACGTTTTTTTATATAATATATATATATATATATATATTCTCTATACAATATCTCACACAAAAAAACAAAGGCAAAAAAACTCAGAATAATAATTTTTCTTCCAAAATATAACCAATAATAATATTCGATGAACATAATGGAAGAAAACTATAAAGGACAAAAACACAACAAATTAAAGTAATCGATGACGACATTCATCTGAACCACAACGACAATGTAAAACACGATTTTCTACCGTATCAACCTAAGTAAAAGAAAACAAAAAAGAGTACAACAATTTATCGTTCAAGAATAAAAGTATCTTTCAAATTTACTTCATAAGAATAATCCCAAACAAGTTCTGTACCAGCTTTTATATTCGTTGCTGTAAAAAATGCTACCCAAGGAAATCGTACATCCCATGATTCAATAAAGACATTTTGAACAAAAACATTTGGTGAACATGAATGATTATAAAATCTTGAAACATTTCCTTTTAAATGTGCATCCATAACAAATATACCTGGATCATAATTAGCTTGTTGATATTCAAGAAATGCTTTTGTTTTTTCTATTGGAATATTTTCTTCTTCAAAATATGTATGACCATCTTAATTAACATCAAATTATAATATGTATTTCAAATAATAAAAAAAACAAACTAAAACTTACTTCCATTATGCTGTTGTATTTCAGAATTTATATTCACATTTTCAACATGATTAACATTATTCATATTCATCATTGGTCTTGGTTTCCTTGATGATGGATTTAATGATGCAACAAAATCTAATGCTGTAAAATATACATCACCCATATTTTTTTGTACACCACGTCGATTAGCATCTTCATCATTAAGTATTTCACCAGCATAAAAACTTAAAAATGTTCCTGCTGGTAAATCGTAAAGTGTTCTTACACCCCAACCTTTTTCACATGTATTATAAATTTGAAGAAGAGTATTCAAACCAAATTGAACACATCGATTTGTACATCGTGAATCACATTTACATTTTCCATTACATTCATAAATACCTTCACAAAAATATATATATATAGACATTAGGAATATATCCGAATCGCGTGACACAAAACTTTTCTATTAGTAGAAAATTAAATTTCTATAGAATATGAAATGAGAAATTTTGGCAACGTTATTAGACTATGTGCTAGATTCAACTGATGAGTTTGGCTCTGATTAAAATATTTAACATTAATTGATAATGGAATACTTATTAATTGTTATTTTTCACATCATAACTAATGGGCGAATGCTTCCAAGTGTCTAATAACTCTTGAGTCAGAACTATATGCATCTTGTAGGTCTTTATGAGCTATATATATATCCTGAAGGGATATTGCATTTTTACTGTTACAATGCCCTGATTCGCATGAGAAACACTACGAAAACTGATTTTCGAATTTTGACTTGAAGCTTTACACAGAGATAGTCCTCAATAGGAATGATGCATTGTGAAAGTTTCAGAGTTTTTTTTATTGCTACTATTCTGAAATAAGAACTTGCCGATGTCTATGAACGATGTAAAACAAAAATAATCTAAAATTTTCACAATGAACTATCCTTGTTAACACCTGTCCCTATGCCAAGTTCCATGAAGGTGCAGAATTTGCCGCTAAAGCAAAAACTTTCGAGATATCTTTATTCAAATTTTCAAATAGAAAAGTTGCTTTACAGTTAAATAATTTACCAATATCTCCAAACGCATGTTCACGCATACAGATAGATTCTGTACATCTGCAAGTTTCAAGCCAGCTTTCCTGAGAGAGACTACAACATGATGGCAAAAATTCAACAATTTGCTTATTTCATTCGTGAATAAATTAAAGCTTATCTTATTATGTGAAACACTATCTAAAAGGACAGTTGATCTATACGCATGAAAATTTGTACCAATCCTCTCACAGAAATTGATATACGATCATAGATTGGATATCAATAACGTCTCATTACACAATATGAACTACTTTCTTATTGCATATCTGCAGTATAATCAGTTCTACTCCTAAACCGTCTTATAGGATAACATCATATTTCTCGTATCTTTATAGATGATAGAATTTGTAATAAATAATACCTGAATGAATCTTTTCTAATAATCGTCCATGTTTATAACCAAAATTTCTTTTAGATAAAGCATCATAAAGATATAATCTCATATTATCTAAATCATCATCAAATAATTCTTTTAATTCACGAATTAAATCTTCATAATAATGTGAATCAATAATAGCATCATAAGTTTTTTTCCAACAAGCACATTTTAATGTATCTAAACAACCATCTAAACATGAACAACCTTGTATTGTTGTTTTATCAATAATTATGTCAGATGTTAATGGTATACGATCTGTAATATATTCAAATGTTTTTGGTAATGTTGTATCATATTCATTAACTAATATTAAGGGTACTTTTTCATGTTCATATGAATAATCATCTATTTGTATAAAAGATTTTTTTGGTGAAATAAATTTTTGTGTTACACGACAATTCATATCAAATGAAAATTGTTTTATATTTAATAATGAATCAATTTGAAATAAATATGTTTGTAAACGTTCAGCATCAGTAAACATTTGTCCACATGGTGATATATATACAATTGTACCTAAATCATTACGTATTTGTCTTTTCCATCCTTGATTTAATGGTATTAAAAGAAAATGACATTTATTATCAATTTTAATATCTTTATTTATAGCTAAACGTTTACATGGTGGTTCATATGATGATAATGTATTAAATAATGGTTGAAGTCTTAATGAACCACGATAAAGCCATTCATGTTTATTTAATAATGGAAGAAAAACACGTATAAGACTACATTCAACTTTTGATACAATAGCATCAATCCATTGTCCATTTAATTCAATATTAATATGGTCTTTAGATGATATATTAACAAGACGTCGTTTAGGATATGCTAAAATATAATTTTCAATATAATGTTTTGTACCTAAATCAACTTTTGATAAATAATTTGATAATGATTCCAATAATAAATGTATTGCTATTGAACGTAAATAAAATGGTGAATCATTATCAGCAAATATTAAATAACGTTGATTATTATTGAATGATGGTTGTTCAGCTATAATACCACGTAATGGTTTATCAATATATCTTGATGTATCAGCATCACCACTTGGCATACAGAGTACACGTGTACCAACATTAAGATTATTAGTAATTGTATCATGTAAAGCTACACGTTCTGGTGGATAACGATAATGATCTTGTGATGTTGCTTTATGATGACAATTTGATAAACGACATGTCTAAAGAATAAATAAATAAAAAATAGAAAAAATTCTTTTCTTTTTTGTATTTACTAATATTTGAAGTTTATTATCATTTGTTTGTTGTGCAGTGACAAAATATGCTAATGTCCACCCGTGTGAAGGATTATAGACGAGTACACGTTGGCCAACATCAATAGCCACAGGCATTCGATTTTTTTTTGTATAGAAATTCTATAAAAAATACTTTTTTTGGAAGATGTATATAAACTTTATCGATTTATCGTTTATTAATATAACAAAGAGTTTGATATACACAAAGCGGTTAAATAATTGAATTTGATTGGTTTATTTAAATCAACCAATCAATATATATATATGATTGAACACATAACATTTTGTTTGTTTGTTTTTTTTTTCTTCTATAACAACCAACAACAAATATAATGGCTAATGTTGAAGATAAAAGAAATTCACCATTTAATTCATTTTTAATTGATGATCCAACACCAAATGATAATCGTATAACAATAACAAATGAAGAATCATTAACAATATGTATATCATGTCAACAGGATCTTCGTTTATGTTCATCGAAAATTTTAGCTTGTCTTCATTCGATTTGTCTACAATGTTTAGATAAATTAAAAGATTTATCTGGTAAAAATTTTTAATTTTATTAGATCTTAATTTTTTTTTTCTTTTGAATATTATTTAGGAACAATTTATACATGTTCAGTATGTAGTCATAAAAGTCGTGGAGACACAATATGTGACAATTTATTTGCCACAGAAGAAACAGAAACAAATAGTTTATCTACACATTGTAGTAATTGTGAAGAAGGCAATATTGCTGATTGGTAAGATGTTAAAAAAATTTTTTGAGCAAACACCCGAATGAATTCAGCTTTAAATAATATTTTTTTTCGTAATTATATGACGAGTAAATCAAGAAAAACTCGGATCAAGACTAAGGGACCCTCCGTTTCCGGGATTTCTCGAGAACGGTTCTACGAAAAATTATGAAACCTTCTTCATGAGACATGTTCTAAGCACCTGTGAAATGACAAATGAGCATCATAAGCGTAATAACTAATGAGGAGGACTTGTCATTTTTATGGAATTTGAGAGAGAGGACATCTCGGGACTATATCAGCAATGAAAAATCAAAAGTTGAAAAAGATTTTTGATACTCATATCCGAATAAACTGAAGCTTTGCGACAAGCGATTATTTTTTGGAAAATTCAATATCTTGACAAAGAAATATTTTACGAATCATTTGACCAGTTGATGAGTGAATTTTCAGATCGAAAATTTAGTAAAATGGTCATGACTCGTGGACACGAACCTTTTTCGGATGTTCTAGTCTTACCAAGACCTTCTTGTGAATCCAATATGAGCTCAAACGACGAGTATCACTTCAGGTAGTTCTCTCATCAGTTTTATTTCACTGTCTGCTGAAGGAAGACAAAATGATGTTTCAGAATCCGATTTCTGTACAAAGTTATCATAAAACTAAAAAATTGGCAGAGAGTATTGAGAATTGTCATAGAAATTTGGAAGGATTCGCCGAAGCTTGGATACAACCTCTAATAGACTTCATATATAATTAGAATATTGAATTGATTTGTAGTGAGATATTAATCTACTTATTTGATATTATAAATATAGGTATTGCGATAATTGTGCTGATTGGCTTTGTATTCAATGTAAGAATGCGCATGCAAGAGTTCGTTTAACAAAAGATCATATTGTAACACAAAAATCCAATGAAGAAGCAAGACAAATACGAGGAATATCTCATAATGAAAAATTACTATGCCAAGTTTGTTAATTAAAAATTTTGTATATATATACTTTGTTTTTTTTTTGAAATATTTATTATTTAGATTCACAGCGATGAATTAGCTCGAAATTTTTGTCAAGATTGTCAAATATTAACATGGTTAGTTGAGAATTTGTTTTTTTTCTATTTCTCAAGTTAATTTATTTGGATTTTTTGATTTGCATTAGCGATGAATGTCAAATAACACTTCATAAAAATCATCGTTATTTATTTATTGATGAAGCAATACAAAATCAAAAAACAAATCTTCATTCATTAATTAATAAAGTTCGTGATGTTCGTTTAGTGTTAAATAAAATTCAACAAACAAGAAGTCAACAACGATCTGATATTGATCAAACTGAACGACAAGTTATTGATGATATTAAATTGTTTGGTTTAAATATGATTGCTGAAGTTAGTAGAGCATGTAAACAATTAATTAATGATACAACTACATTATGTAGTCAAGCTCGAACACAATTTGCTGAAAAGTAAAAGAATAAAAATTTTTTTTTTCTAATTATGTAGATTCGAAAAATACGAGATGAATCGTTCGAAGTTTTATTCTAATATAAATATGTTGACAAAAGGTTGCAATTGCAAAAATTGAAATTAGGATTAGTAGTTTGGATCAGTGTTCGATATGAAGCAATTTTTCGAAACTCACATCTGAGATCGGAAACATTTTCATTGGCCTATCAAAACGAGCTTTCTCAAAATTGTAAAGAACGAAATTATTATCTCATACAGAATAGATGTTTGTCTTATGAGAAGTTCGACACCGGTCAATCTATAATGTTAGAAAAATATTTAAAGACGAGTTAATATGAAACTATTTTATTTTATTAGAACTGACCATAAGTTCGAAATGATCGCGAATACATAGGAAAAATAGATCTACAAGGTAGATAATTATATTTCTAGTAATAATTTAAAAAAATATATTCTATGAAAACTCAAAATGAAATGCAGCAGCAAGTCGAAGAGCGATTTATTTTTTCATTCGAATGAAATTATTACGAATAGATTTAATAGTAAGAAACATTTTTGTCTACATGAACAACTTTTAGCATTACAAATCCGAAAGCTAATTCTAATGAAAAATCATTGCGAATCTTTAAAGACATTGATCTTTCTAACAGTAATTTTACTTTGCTTGAGACTTACAAGTATTAGTAGTTATATTCTGCAATTAAAATCGATCTTGAATTTTATTTCTATGAACATGAATTTACAGTTAAAACTAAACAATACCCACCATTATACGGGTGAATTGTTCAGTTTGAATCACATGTATAGTGAGGAATGGCAACAAGTTTTCGTTTTTATTACTGCACTCTTGTTAAAGTTTATGAACTTTGTGGAATTCATATTATGTTTTTTG